GATGCTGATTGGTTGCTGGCTGAGATGAATTTTGATCCACTGAAAAGGTGCTGCCCAATGAGTGGCCAGTGGTGGGGGCTCCTCCAGCAGAAGCTGTCTTACAGCGTGTCTGACTGGTGCGCGCAGCACTTCCACTCGCAATCTCCTAGTAAAACAAGACCTGGCACAATTTTATTATTTCAAATGGATACTTTCAAAGCTCTTCTCAGATGCTTGCACATTTTCTCCATATTCCATAATACTGTAAATAGTCAAATTTGCACAAATCCCACCAACAACAACAGCAATGATTTAATTGACATAAAGTTCATTTTACTGCAAAAATTAAATCAATCAGACAGACAGGGAAGACATCTCAAAAACAGATTCATAAACTTCAAGAAAACGAACAAGGACAAACGTCTTTGTTTATGCGTGCTGTTGTTCCCAGTTGTTTACCTGTCTGTAAATCTTCTCTTTCTCTGGTAGCTCTCTAGCTTTGCACAGTAGTTTGCCCTCTCCACCGCGTGTCGTTGTCTTCTCTGCAGCCTGCTGGTGTTTCAGGGCCTGTAGGTCCGGGCTGGGTGGGACTGTCAGAGGGTTGCTTGAACCCTCGTCTGACACCGCTGTCAAAGCAAACAGCATGATCCAAACTACATCATACTGCGATGAAGGACTGATGTAGATTATGTCAAATCTATGTAAAAGTTGTTTCATATTTGATTAGTTATTTCATTTGTATATGTTTGCAGAGGTGTTTATAGGAGGATAGTTTTATATATTTCACTTTTGAGAGGACTGAATCTCTCCCATAGATCAGCATTATTACGGTTAACTAAAACTATTTAAAAAATGTTGTTAATTGAAATAAAGCTGAAATAAAATAAAATCTAAATATTAGATGAAAAGCAAAAGCAACATTTGTCATTTTCGTTTAGTTTAAGTTGAAGCACTAAAATTACTAACTGAAAATAAATAAAAACTAAAATTAAACTAAAACTCAAATAAAAATAAACCTAAATAGTAATATTAAAAAGGACATAAAAGATAACAATAAAAAGATAACAAAAGCACATAGCAATATCAAAGATTTAAACGAATATTTTAAGTAAAATTAAAATTAAACTGAAAGTATAAAAATAAAAGCCAATTCACAATATCAATAAAAACTATAACAGTAATTCTAAAAACATTGCCATAAATATACAGAAACTACAAATAATCTGTATTCAGTTAAATATAAACTATATTAAAATACTGATTTAAATTTGCAGGTATGTGTACATAGAAAATACAATTTCATATGATGATAAAATACTAAACAGTCCTCACTCAAAACTCCATCTGCAACAAAAGGGTGATGAAGCAGGTCAGGCCATGACAACCTCTTCTCTGGGTCTTTCATCAGCAGTCCCTTCAGAAAACTCTACATTAAGAGAACCCACAGACAGAACAATTAAAGTAAAGGATTTTAAATTGTGTATTATATACTATACATCACTTAACGTTACCAAAACCAGCACATACTGACATAAAGTAACACTTCTACTTTTTTGGATCTCTGTGCCAACACTAAATCAAAATCAGTCTAATTTGGTTTCAAACAGAGTTAGAGGTGTTCATGTGGAAAGCAAACTTCTCTGTACCAGGCAGTCTTGGCTCATGTTGTCTGGCCATTTCACTGGATCTCTCACTATAAGCTGCACCAGCTGA